TACTTGAAATATGTCAGTAAGATGTGATTTAACATTTCTATCCAGTGTGTATCTGAGACACTTCGTGATATAGTCTGTAATATGAGACTAGCATCATTAAAGAGAGAAGAGTTTGCATCAGGAACATTTCGTGTAATTAATGTATACCTATCTGATTATACTAAAATGAGCTTTTGAAACATTTTGAGTTTTACAGTAACTTATAGAATATTGCATTAGGCATAGTAAAATATAGAACTTTTACCACAAAAACATTATTGTGAATTTTTTTTTCTTAGTTTATCACAAAAAGCTCATATCAGTAAATATTAAACAACATAATAAATAAGCCACAAAAAATTGACACACTTGTGAGCAGTAGTTTCTGAGAAAAGGTACATCGAGTACGAAAAAAAAATCGCATTTGGAGAAACTGGCATTTTTATGTAAAAATCCTCATTTATAAAAGCATTGGATGATAAATTAAAACTGGATTTTTTACAGTTCTAATTTTCATAGAAATTAAAGCATGATATTTTTAGAAAGTTGACAGTGTAGAGAATTTTAATATACAAAAATCTCAAATCACTATTTTTTGAAGATTTTTGGCTTCAACCCCCCTCAAGTGTTTCCTCGTGTGTTTCCTTTTTGGATTTAAGAAAAGTCATATTTTTATACGATAACCGAGTTCCTACACGTAGAAAAATGCTATACCCATTGTAACGTACTATGAGTAACCAATTATTATGATTTTGATCTTTTCTATGATTTCTTTCTTCCATATTCTCACTAGATTGCAAATTAACTGTAAAGATATATATGCTGAGGGTTAAATCTTTGAGACACAGAGCCTCTGGCACTTGCGCAGCGCTGTCAGAATTTTGCCAACTCTATATAAGAATAATTATTCCGGCTTTGGTACTTTTCGCTAGAATATTTCTTTAAACTTAACCGCCGGTAAATACAGTTGAACCCGCCTACAGCTTAGTTTACTGCCTGTGCAGTCTTAGACTGCTGATCACAGCTGGAACTGAATTGACTAGCAATGAGTTTTGTAAATGTGCCTTAATTACAGTCCAATGATCAAGGCAATGCATAATATAAAATGTGAAGTGTAACGAGTATATATAGCAACATGTTAACATATTGTTGTATGCTAACATGCGATGTAACCAGGAGAATGTATAATTACAAATTATTTTTGGTTCGTTTTCAGAAAGTATAGCAAAATTTCTGCAACAGTGAGCTTTTCCATACTACATTTGACTGAATAATAGTATTCAATTAAAAGCAGTATGGTATATATTATGCTTTCAGATCTGTTACCCGTATTTTGTACATTCCTCTTTATACCACGCTAGTCTATGCAAGCTGCCGGACTTACTCTCACCTGTCACCTGTTATTTCTTAATTTTTATCGTAAGCTCAGTGACATGACTCCCATGTGACAAAAATTGACTAAGATATTTAATTTCAAATTTCTGCATATTAGATGTCATTTTCAATTTGCCTTGAGGAATCGGATAATAAATAGTTAGAATAAATCGAGGTTGAATATTCCCCTTAAAATGGAATCTAATGATAGTCTTTTATTATTTACTGGTACATAACCTCCTTTAATATATAATTTTATTGCAAATGGTTTTTTGAAAGGATTGTTACGCAAGTAATTCATAACGTTTCGAACGCTAAAAAAAGTTATCAGTATTCTCATGAAATTTTACTACTTTAGAAACTAATATTTATACAAAAAAAAAAAAAAAAAAAAAAAAAAAAAAAATCAAACTAGGTGGAAGAAGTATCTTTAATTTTTAATTTATACAAATCATGTTACGAGTTCGCTAAGAGCTAAAAATGAAACCTGCCCGTCTTTTCTAAAATACAAATTCTATAAGATTCTGTGAATCAGATCTTCATTTTGAAAATAAATATATATTTAATATAATACTTTTCTCTAATCTGCATAGAAATGTTTGTCACTCAATCTATTAATATCCGAAAACTTTTATTATACTGACATTTAAATTTTAATTACGTATAAATGCTAATATTTTGCTTTCCTTTTTGTGTCTCACCATGAATATGATTTTCAACTTTAAAATGAAATATTTCACTCAACTTTGGTCGCACAGGAGTCACTCATTTTGTATTTTGTGTTTCATGATGAATATAAAATGTTACTTAATATAAGCATAAGAATCGAGATACTAAGTTAGATTTTGAAATTTTTACAAACCTGAATTTTCTACATGTAAAACTGCCAACTTATGAGCATTTGCATCCTTAACCGACCTCGTTCAAAAAGCCGATTTTAGTTAGAAATCTCAATTTTTTTTAATTTCAGATTTTTAAAGGCCACCTTCTTAGCTAATCAAAAACAACTTTTTCTCTTTTTTTATATATATATTTATTAAAAGTTGAAATATACTAGTTTTTCTGAGAAACAACAAACCGGAAATTATTTGCCACAGAGGAAACGAAAGTTTAAAGGAAATCAAAAACGCCATTTTTCTCTCATTCTTATGTTATTTGTTAATTAAATAATTTTATGCATTTCAGTTAGTCAGGAGAATCTGGCAAAGTATTTTTATTATGTATTCTCTTATTTTCGTTTCGCAGTTTCAATAGTTGTGCATATATGTCATGTAATGTTAATCTGAAAACTTTAAATACGATTTTTGATATCTTTTTTAATGATTTATGTTCACAGCAACCATGACAACTCTAAATTTCCTTATAGGATCACTCGAAATTTGGCACACAGAGTTTGTACATCATTAAGCATGAGAATTAAAAAAGTTAAGAAATTCTCATTCGGAAAGTGCTTCGTAAGGTTGAAGTTTGCTCAGAATATCATGTTATGCCTCGAATAAGATAAGGAAATGGTTAACAGCAACTTTGCAAATTCGAGGCGGGATTGTTGCCTATCGAAAGTGTAGATTATCGTTTCGTGATATCACCGGTCACATTGGTCGACATCCAACCACTGTAATGCGAATATGGAAACAATGGATTGCTGAGGGTCATACTGAATGGATTGCAGGATCTCAACGCCCTCCCATGGTTAACGTCAGAGAGGACAGACATATTGTGAGGTCAGCCTTGCAAAACCGTACAACCATATCAAGGACTATTAGTCAGGAAATGGGCATGTTTGCAGCACACCCAGTATCAGCTCGTAAGGTGTGTCGACGTTTGCAGCAGAGGGACTATCAGCAGGGTGACTATTACTTCGGCTTCCCTTGACAATGCAGCATAGAGGGAGACGGCGACTCTGGTGCGCCAAAAGACAAAGCTGGGCACAGGAGTGGCACAATGTCGCCTTTTCAAACGAGTCTCGGTTCTACGTGCAATATTCCGTATACGTGTCTAGAGTGTCCGAGGAGACCGCACGTCGCCTGCTTGCATTCGATATCGACATAAGCGCCCTGCACCTGGTGTGATGGTTGGAGCAGCTACTGGTACAAGACACGCACATCTCTAGTTCATCTAGCACAATTTGAAAGCAGATGGGTACATTTCTGACATATTACGTCCACTGGCTGTGCCCTATCTTCGAGACCACCAAACGCCATGTTCCAACAAGATGCAAGAGCACATGTTGCTCGTCCCTTCCTCGATACTCAGGGTATTCGATTACTGCCCTTGCCTGAACGGTCTCTAGATCTGTTACCCATTGAAAACATCAAGAGATTGCCCCTCCACCTCTCTCCAGCTAATATGGTTGATGAAGTGCGACATAGACTTGAAGCACTATGGAATGAGTTGCCCATTTCTGTCATCCAAGTCCAGTTCGACTTCATGCCTGATGGAGTAAGGGCCGCTTTAGCTGCCAGGGGTGGCAGCTGTTTCTACTGATTTCGCACCCCTGTAAACCTCCAAAATGCTTACAAATTTAATAATTTTTTTTCTTCATACTATACTGTTTACGTGCAATAAATATTTTTTTTATATTTTCTTTCCTTCATGCTGTTACAATTTTATTGGCCAGCAGGGTATATTGCTGCGAAATGCCCAGCTGCGGTAAGATAGCTTCCCCGAAAATCGGTTTTAGCGTTTCCACATAATGGCATGGAAAGGCAGGGGTGCCAGATTTGGAGCAAAACCGTCCATTTGGCGACAAAATTGGAGATATGCTATAGACGGAGTCAGAATATTCTAGAACGAATTTTCACAGGTCTTCTCGAGAAGATTTTCGAAGGCAGATCAAAAGCTATAAATACCTTCCTGCACGCGAAGTAGCAGTTTATCGTGAAGAGTATCTTGAGTGTGTTGAATTCAGTAGTAGCACTTTGAGTTCAGAGATTAGCTTGAGAGCGATTGACTGAGTCGGGAGCTGTACTTTAGTGCTTTGCTGTGAAGCTGTCTTCACCGTTATAGTTTGAAAGGCTGTGTTGCTGATTGTTTCAGCGTGTTTATCGTAGTTTCGAGACTGCTGTAAACGTGTTTTTGAAACTCTCCTATGTAATGCTGACGAATAAGTTGTGTTTTGTTTCTTCGTCAAGTGTTGTCATCAATCATTCCAAATATACGAACCCGTAGAAGGCAACAACTGATATCAGAAACGGGTTTTGCGAGTGAATGCCAGTGACTCCCTATAGGTAAAAGCCATGGCCGAAGAAAGGAAGGCTTTGATGGATTTGTTAGCAGCTGTAAAATTCGGACAAGATGAGATGAAAGCCGGACGAAAGAAGATGAAACTGGACAAAAAGGAAGGAAAGCCAGACGGGAGGAAATGAAGGCTGAGATCAAGAGCGAAATAAACGCATTTTGGAAGCCTTAGAAGCGATTTTACCCGGAGCTTCCAGAAATGGTGGAAATACTGTAATCATCTACAGTGTTCTTTGCATGTTAAGAATATACCTTATCTTAATAGCTATTTACAGCTGTTAAATTACTGCATAAGTTGCAATTTATTTCAATAAGGTGTCATTTCCTTTTTTCCGTCTAGTGTAGTTATTAACCAGACCTCTACAAGTCTGTGACGCACAATATTATTTTCAAACCAAATAAACAACTAATACTGCGTGAAAGAAATTTTTTATTATCCTTAGTTTATTTGGAGCACATGTGCATTAATTCTTAATCAAATAAAAAAATTTTAATCTCTAGTAAAATAGGGACGAATAGTATCTCATGAAGCTAGAAATCCAGAGATACTCTTTCTTCTAGTCCTTAATGCATCAAAACCTGGAAATAAAACAAACATAAAAATATTCTTATTCGAATATACTTCTACTAAACACATTAGTTCAGGATACTGCTACAGAACAATTAAGAAAGAATATTGGCCTATTATTAAGTAGTAACTAAATTCGTGAAATTACAATACCTGAATTCATTAATTGTTTCTTTTTTATAATAACTATTTTAGGTCGCGCTGTAAGGATCTTAAGTTTTACTAACGTTTATTTTACTTTAAATCTTTTACTATCACTTCTTATTTTCTACTTCCGGCCAGAATTAAAAGCTTTAACTTATTTATGCAAATTTGTCTTGCGAACGCCAAGTACTTAATTTGTGGCTTTTTGCCAAGCAAGAGAGAGGAAGGAGTGATTAAGAGCAGGCCGCTTGCCATAGCAGTTTTACTCGGTTGCTGGTTGCCTTCAAGGCCAGAGGTTTAATCCTCTTGATAATTTTAAACGTATCGTAGTGTTAACAGTTCTCTGTACTACATACGGCCTTTCTGTTAATATACGACCAATCTTCAAGTAGACATTTGTTTATTAATCCAAAGTTAGTTTAGTTAGAATTTAGTTAATATTTTTATATTCTTACGTTCAGACCACAAGTGGTTGGTCTCTGTATTCCGAAGTCCGAAAATCATTGTAAAGAGAGAAAAATAAAGGGTTTCGTATACCCTTCCTGTGTATCTTGTCTACTTCCCACATTTATTGAACATAGCTTTAGTAAGCTCCCTTTTCCGAGTTAGGTCATTTAATGTTCCCAAAGCAAGTAAGGAGGAACACTGAACCTGATAGTGGCGCCCGACGAAGAAGAATAACCATGGCCGAGTTTCAAGAAGAACCTTGTGCTGCCTGCAGAAGCGGCTCAGAATCCAGAAATACCAGCTGCCGCCCTGGGAGGATTTGGTTACATCGTCCAGACCATGCGCGCATCGATGAAACCAGAAGCAACATTTAATGGAAACTCACCGGTAACCAGTTTTTTGGAAAAATTGGAGAACCACTTTGTAATGACCTTGCATATTAATAAGGTACCATGAGGAAAACGACACCAACATTTATTAAAAATTAACTTTCAAAGAATAATGAAAAAAAAAATTAACATTTAAGGAATAAAGGCAAACTCGGAGCACTACCTCGCTCCTACAACATAATTAACCTACAACCTGCCTCCTCTGAGGCTAACATGCAACTGTCCTCTCTCTCACTTGCTGGGCTCTGCCAGGCAGCTGATTGGCTCACCGCTGCCAGATACATGACACCCCCCCCGGTAAGATTGTGCTACGCCAAAGCGAAGCAGAATCTGAAAACTGAACCAGCTTAAATTGTATACTCCACATACCAAATTAATTCAAAATATAGGAACATGTATACATGACATAATAACATACTTTGAAATAAATGCAATAAACATTCATCTCACAACAGATGAACAGATGGCTTGATACAATACCGGAGTTCTGTAATAAAACATATATGCAATACTATTTCAAAACACACTATTATAATGCAATATTAAATGGAAACCAGTAATTTGATTTTCAAAACAGATGGAAAGTAGCTCTCGTACAATTCCGGAACAAAAGAAAGTAACTAATGCAAAGTTTTAAAAACATATTAGTTCATACTTAGTTCACACCTATTTCATTCACCCACTAGTCTTGAAAGACCATCTGCATTTTTTAATTGTGCACCAGGGCAATGAGAAATATGAATATTATAGCGCTGAAGTGCCATTGCCCACCTCTGTAATTTGGCTGAATGCGGTGCCGACTTATACAAATATAATAATGGATTATGGTCTGTGATCAGCTCGATATTCGATCCAAACACCCAACACTCGAACTTTTTTAATGACCACACAACGGCATAAGCCTCGCGTTCAATAGTTGACCAGTTCTGCTGAGTTTTCGAAAGTTTTTGACTGGCAAAGCTGATAGGATGCAAACTGCCTTTGCTGTCTCGTTGTGACAAGCAAGCACCAACACCATATGAACTAGCATCACACTGTATGGTGTAAGGTTTTTCTGGTTCTGGAGTGTACAGTTTTGGTGCTTCCACACAGTCGACGTTTCAGTTCTTGAAATGCTGATTCCTCAACATCAGTCCATGGAATTATCTCAGGAATTTTCTTTTTCGTAAGCTCCGTCAATGGGCGAGCTATTTCTGCATAATTCTTTATGTAATCACGATAATAGTTGAATAAGCCTAATGCACTCTTTAGAGCAGTCTTTGTTTTAGGACTTTTTATAATTTCAATGGCTTGTAATTTTTCAGGATCAGGTTGATGTCTTCCAGCTCCTATTATATGTCCTAAATACTTTATCTCCGAACGTGCAAAAACACATTTCTTCACGTTCACCGTAAACCTGAGATCACTTAATGTAGTTAGCACAGCATCTAAATGTTTGAGATGCGAATTCCAATCTGGTGAAAAGATAGCAATATCATCAATATATGCTTTGCAAAAATCACTATGTTTTCTTAAGGCATCATTCATCACTCGCTGAAAAGTAGAAGCTGCATTTTTTAATCCAAAAGGCATCACTTTCCAACGATATTGGGAACGATGTGTCTTGAATGATGTTAAATCACGACTTTCTTCTTCTAAAGGTATTTCCCAGTAACCTTTCAAGACATCTAAACAGGTGATAACATTCGCGTGTCCAATTTTATTGATTAGATCAGTCACATTCTCCATTGGAAAATCAACAGGCTTGGTTACTTGATTCAACAACCTGAAATCAATACATAAACGCATACTTCCGTCTTTCTTGGCAACACATACGACTGGGTATGCTATTTCAGCTTCACTTGGCTCAATAAGACCCAAGCTCTCCAATTCCTCGATCTGTTTATCTACTTCAGGTTTCAAAGATTCTGGGATCTTATAGATATATGGCTTTTTTCTTTCAGCTCCAGGTAACAACCGAATTCTATGTTCACCAACGCTGGCTATTTGGATCTCCCCAGAAAATAACGCGATGTGCTTGAGTAAGAGCTCGTGTAATTCCTTTTGTTTGCTATCCTCTAAATGACTAATATCCACCTCGATGTTCCTTCTAGTTACTGCGCAATCTCCTTTATTTGGAGTGGTATGAATTTCCCCAAACTCAGAATCATCTTCAAATATCACTCCCACAGTTTGTGCTCGAACATAAAATTTTCTTATTTTGTTCACATGAACATGCCTCACACTCCCATCGGGTAATTTAACTTTGTAAGAATGAGGATTTACTCTTTCAACAATTTCACCTGGACCTGTCCACCTAGCATATAGCTTGTTGCTAGAGTCTGGTATAAGTAAATATACTAGATCACCATTTTTAAATTCTTTCAAACTTTTGCGACGGTTAAAATAATATGCATAAGCTTCTTGTTTTTCCGCGGCAGATAAAGAAGCGAGCTCAGATGCTTTCTCTAAATTTATCTTTAATTCTTGTAGATAATCAACTGCTGAATTACTCAGATTAAGAGGTAATGGTATTTCACCGGACCATGATGATTTTAACACAGCTAAGGGACCTCTAGCTTCACGACCGTACATAAGCATAAATGGAGATACACCGGTAGTGCAATTTGGAACTTCACGATACGCAAAAAGTAAATAAGGTATGTGCTTGTCCCAATTAACAGGATCTGTGCGAATTACATGATGTAACATTTGTTTAAATACCCGATTCCATTTTTCCACTGAGCCGTTTGATGCTGGGTAACCAGGTGTCGAAAAACGAGGATGAGTTCCTAACCTTTTTTCGAATTCTTGAGTTAATTGTGAGGTAAAATTAGTGCCTTGATCACTACAAATTATTTCTGGAATACCGGTTCTCATAAAAATATCTAAAAGAGCCTCACAAGTAGCTTTAGCAGAAAGACTTTTTAAAGGTATGACTTCTGGCCATTTTGAATGATTATCTATCAAACACAAACAATATTTATGTTTCCTTCCTGAAGGAGGTGAAATTTCACCAATAATATCTATATTTACTGTATGAAAGGGATATGGCGCGCGAACAATAGGAGTAATCGGAATTTTATCCGATTGTCTTTCCGGACTTTTTAATTGACATCTTTCGCATGTTCTACAATAATTTTCTACATCTTTGGATATGTTCGGCCAATAAAATGAAAGCTTAATTCTTTCTTTAGTTTTCCTCCTCATACCTAAATGATTTCCGAATATGGAATCATGAGCTAATTGAAGGACTTTATTTCGATAATTCTCGGGCAAAACTAACTGTTGTATGTTTTCCCCACAAATTTTTTCTTTATGAAATAATAATTCGTCCTGTAAAAAGAAATTATTCTTCCCTACTTCTGCGTCCTTAAAAGAATTTATTAACGTTTGGCAGTTTCTCTGATCGACCTTAAATTTATTCGATTCCGAATAACTGTTTAGTAGTCTTTCATCATTCTGATTCGCAACTGAGCTATAAAAAAGATTTACATTTGACAGTTCAACGGCGCCAACCTCAAGTTGTTTTTGTTTATGAGTTTCCGGTTTCGTCTCGGGAAGACTGTTGATTCATTCTCGTCTTCAAATATGCGATCCCATACATCTGGTGTAATTAAACATTGAACATTTAGCTTATCTGTCAACGCGAAAAGAGCTTCTACGCGCGAATATAGACAACTGTTTGGTTTTTTTGTAATAAATGGGAATAGTTGCTAACGTTGCCTCTATGACGTCGCCAAATGCGGAACTTAAAATGATTTTACCCTTACTTTCTATTTTTAAATCAGGAATTAATGTAGTGTTCAAAATTGGTATTTCCGTACCTGAATCTTTTATAGCTTCTACTTGCTTCCCTGCAATGTAAATAGTAATCTTTTCCAAGGAATAAAAATTAAGTTTTCCGTCGGAACACTCGGGTTTTTGTAAATGTTTAGAATTTACATTTGTAACAACCGCATTGTCCTTCGGTTTACTTGAAGTGTTAACTTTCGGTTTGACCGGGAAATTATCGTTCTGTTTATTGGACCTCTCAAATTTATTTCGCCTGTTCGGGCAATCCTTAGCCAAATGTAAACTGCTACTACACACACATAACATTCTCGCGGTTTAAACGAATGTTTCTGTTCATTTACCACTAAATCTTTTCTTAGCGCTGGTGGAATATATTTAGAGTTTTTGTTGTATGAATCACGAAAATTAGCGCGTTTTTCACCTCTTATGTCATCAAAAGATTTACCTTTTGCGATGAAATAAGTGTCGCATTCCTTCGCTAGTTCTTCTGGACGTAGCCAACTTTCACCTTGTCGAACTGCAACATGGCACGCTAAATCACTATCCAATGTTTGAAAAAGTTTGTCAGAAATTATTAAGTTAATTAAAGACTCAAAATCATTGACGTTTCTACTTTTACAATAATGGATCCAACATGATCTTAAACGAGAGGCGAACTGCAAATGAGTTTCCCCCCCCGTCAACCTTTGAGCTTGGCGAAAATTTTCTAAACATATAATTGGCGATGGTTCATATTCCTTAAGAATTAAAGATTTAATTTTTTCATAATCTTTCAAATCATCATCTTTAATATATACTAGAATATTAGAAGATTTATCACCTATCAGTTTAAGTAAAATTTCAGACTTAAACTCATTTGGTACGTTCTTATGCTTAAAAGCCCTTTCTATGGAATCAAAAAATAAGTTCCATGCTTCACCCTTTTTAGGTACAGAAATCGATAATGCCTGTACAGCTTTCAAAAGCTTATCTAATGAAAGTGTATTTTCTACGTTATTACTAGATTCGTTGCTACTTTCGATTTGCATTAAACGCAATTTCACAATTTCTTCTGACTTTTTCCTTTCTTCAACCGTAGTATTAAGAAATTCAATAACAAAATCTTTATCTTTCAAATATTCTTTAGAACTTAAAAGCTTATCTTTTAATTCTACAACTTTTAAACTAGAATCGGCTTCTTCACCTAGTTCCTTCAACACCGAAATCAAATCACTTTTAACTACTCCTACTCCTTTAAACATATTTAGAAGAAATTTTCCTTAAAGTTACAACAAAAATTTCTCACCTTTTCTCCAAAATCCAGTCGGCTTCGTTAGCTCTGGTTCTCGAAAGAGAGCGTGCTGTAATGACCTTACGGATTAATAAGGCACCATAAGGAAAACGACACCAACATTTATTAAAAATTAACTTTCAAAGAATAATGAAAAAAAAATTAACATTTAAAGAATAAAGGCAAACTCGGAGCACTACCTCGCTCCTACAACATAATTAACCTACACCTGCCTCCTCTGAGGCTAACATGCAACTGTCCTCTCTCTCACTTGCTGGGCTCTGCCAGGCAGCTGATTGGCTCACCGCTGCCAGATACATGACACTTGCCAATGTTAACTTGACCCTACAGAGGCAGAACAAACGTTTTCAAGCTCTTGTATGGAAACCGTCCGGATCCTGAAATAATTCAAGTGATTTTGCCGAGGTTACTACCCCAAGTGCAAGACTTTATTGAATTAAGAAATCCGACTACACTGGAAAAGTTATTTGAGCTAGCAATCCAGTTTGAAAGTAGAAGAACGGCGGACGTCGAAAGAAGACGCCAATATCAACAGCGAAACCAATTTGGTACGCCAAGACTACAGCAAACAAGCAACACACACGGCTACGGAAGAAAAGCGAATCAGTGGGCAAGGAAAACCCGAGCATTCAAAAACAGCCGGCGAACGTCGACAGTTCAATAGCAACCAGGAAAAAAGTCTCAAGGCCAGGGGAAAAAGAAGGAAAGCACGGAAAGGAAAAAAAATTTAAACTAAAACGGATTTCTGCTGACGAGAGGGTGCGGAAATCCGAAGGCCACGAAAACCCCTCTTCCTACAAGTTAAATACAGTAATGGTGAAAAATTTGACTCTTCCGAAGATTGAAGTCTTGGTGAAATAATATCCCGCCACCGCACTCCTGGATACCGGCGCGCAGTGTTCCTGTGTGGCAGAAGATTTTTTTTAGGAAAGTATTTTCGCAAATACCGCATATATAATGCGGATAATACGACAGTATTAGCGCGCAAGGAGAAAGAATGTAAGTGCGTAGGTAAAGTACCTTATATATCCGTATCAAGGACGAACAAGTAAAGGTGATGTTTTTTATAGTAAAGAATTTGCAAGCACATTTATATCTTAGGAATAGACTTTCTTTCAGACGCACAAGCACACACTGGATTTTAATGAAGCGTCCCTTAAGCTGACAATGAAACCAGTGCGTGTAGAAAAACAGAACCGCCAAGGTTAAATCTTGACCACCTGCCTAATGACGAGCAAGATAGAATCCGACAAGTGGTAAGTGAATTTGCTTCGTTATTTAGTGATATTCCAGGATTTACTCAGTTACTAACCATAGTATTGACACCGGAGATGCATTGCCAGTTCGTCAAAAAACCATACCGGTATGATAAGAATAAGGAAAAAATTATAGAATGGCATATTACCGATATGCTACGTAAAAAAATCATAACGCCCATCTCAAGTAGTTATGCTAGCCCGTGGTTTTATGTAAGAAAAAAATGACTATCCTTTGGAGCATCCAAAAAGGTGGAGATTCGCTATTGATTACCGTAAATTAAATTCCATACTAAATATCCGGTATATCCGTTACCGATTAGAAGAAATTTTAAGGAACATAAAATCAACCAAATTTATGACGACTTTAGACTTAACGACTGGTTATTTTCAAATAGGGGTTAGGCCTGAGGACGTGCCTAAGACTGCTTTTATAACCAAGTCTGGCACTTATGCATTTTGCGTATGCCGTTTGGCCTTTCAGGGGCCCCGCAACATTTCAGCGATGCATGGACATTGTGTTAAGACCTGTTCTTGGAAAGTCCACATTTATCTATTTAGACGATATCATTATTACTAGTGATAATCTCGACCAACATGTACAGGATTTAAGACAGGTGTTTCTTTATTAAATGAGGCCGGTCTAAAAGTTAATGTCGAAAAGTGCAAATTTGCAGCCCCTGAATTAAAATATTTAGGTTACAAAATATCTCAGAAAAGGAATCGAGACAGATGAATCAAAAATAATCGCTGTGCAAAAGTATCCGACTCCAAACACGGCGAAAGAAGCTCTCTTCTTTTCTAGGACTTTGTTCATATTATAGGTCCTTTATAAAAAGATTTTGCAGCTATCGCTGAGCCATTGTTAAAATTAAAAAGGAAAAAGGCAAGATTCTCGTGGACGGCCGAAGCCAATAGTGCTTTCGAAAAATTAAAACAAGCATTAACGCAAGCCCCTGTGTTTGAAATTTCCTGAAAAGGATGAGAATTTAGAAATTTCAGCGGATGCTTCGGATTATGCAGTAGGAGCGGTACTTTCGCAAAATCAGCAGCCCGTGGCATTTTTTAGCCGGACTTTAAATCAAACACAAAGAAATTATTCCGCGACCGAGAGAGAGGCACTTGCAGTTCTGTTAGCAGTGTAAAAGTTCCGAGTCTATTTTGGAAAGGCGCCAATAACAGTGTATTCTGATCATGCGGCGGTAACTAGATTGTACTCAGGGAAAAACTTATCCCCAAGGTTAATAAGATGGGCACTCGAGCTGCAAGAATATAATCTGGTAATCAAGCATACCCTTGGAAAGGAAAATATCGTAGCAGATGCCCTATCCAGAATAAAATAGACGAAGAAGGTAATACTGTAAAAGGTTGCAATGCTCACAGCGTGTACAATAAATTCCCGAGAAACTGTAATAACCGAACTGGGTAAGGATCCTGAGTTTGGAAGTATTTATGAGTATTTGAAGGATCCTGAAAATTTTAGCCACCAAGATATTGTGGCGATAAGAAATAGGGCGGCCCATTACGAACTAATAGATGGTCTATTATTTTATACAAAAACTACGAAATTCCAACAACGAATTTCGACCTGTTATCCCAGCTAGTCTTAGATTAAATATCCTGCAGGAGCTCCATGACAGCCCTTTAGCTTCTCATGCTGGTATTCGAAAAACTATCCAACGCGTACGCGAGGCAGTCTACTTTCCTGAACTGCAAAAGTTAACAAGGGCGTATGTCCAGTCCTGCCCAACATGTCAAGCCGTTAATTATATTAATTTCCGCCCGGCCGGGTTTCTAAATAGTATTAAATCCGAATTTCCAAATGAAATAATTGGCATCGATTTATTGGGCCCTTTCCCAAAAAGTCAGTTAAATAAAAGTCGCTATCTCCTTGTTATGGTTGATCATTTTAGTAAATGGACCGAAATTGTTCCCTTAAAACGAGCCTCCGCGAAATTAGTTACTGATTCTATTTTAAATAAATATATTTTAAAATACGGGGCGCCCCTAAAAGTTATATCGGATAATGGTCCTCAATTTGTAAGTAATATATTTGAAGACATGTGCCAAAAACTGGGCATACGTCATTTAAAAATGGTCCCGTATCGGCCGCAATCAAATATAGCGGAACGGGTCAATAGAAATATAGTGAAAATTATCCGTAGTTATGTTAAAAATTTTCATAAAAGCTGGGATAACTATGTCAATGAATTTGCTTTCGCCCTTAGGACGCAAAACATGATACAACGGGCAAAACTCCTGCTGAGTTATTTCTAGGCAGAAAGATTATAACACCGTTAGATAAATTATTTTATGTGCAACAAAGAGCCCCAGAATTTAAAATGGGTGATATAGAAAAACTAATTAAAGAAGCAAAAAGAATACTGAAGTAGCACAGAAGAAAACAGAAAACTTATATTATGATTGAAACGACGGGGAGTAACTTATAAAGTAGGGGATGAAGTGATTTAAAAATTAAGCATTCACTTTCTTCAGCACCAGAAGATAAAACTGCCAAATTTTTTCCACGATTTGAAGGACCATATGTTATAGAAAAAAATAACTCACGCTGTTGTAGTGTTAAAAGCCAGAAATGGTGAAACCTGTTCCGCAAACATTGACCAAATAAAAGCCCTATTCTATGATCGTAATAAAATGCAAATCTTTTCAGATCTTTTGCAGGATCCGGCACGGCAGACACCGCAGGTACACAAGCTCCAGAGGTGGGAAAACGACAAGTACAAGGGCAAGCCAATGAGAGACAGAAGCAAGTGAAAAGAAAATTGCCCCCGTTGAAAAAATTGAAGGTAACAAGAAAAAGAAGCCGTTCCACCGTCCAGAAAAAGAGTTCACGAACACCCCCAGAATGAAGAAGGGAGAAGGACGACGTATGTGAAGAGGACCAGGAGAAATGACGGCAACTATAACCCGACCCGGCTTAAAACGGAAGATCTACTCATCGGACAGAACTCTCCGCAGCAAAAGTCGCCGAACTGCGGAAGGGCCATCAGCGGCGGAGGAAAAAGTACAAGGAAAAATTTGAACGGCCAACAACGAGGTCCAAGCAGGATCACGACGAAGAAGTTTCCCGGTTCCGCCAAGACCAGCTGCCATCAAACGGCCAAGACCACAAGCAGAGGAGAAAAGGAAGGTATTCAAGGGTGGCCGTACTGGTGAAAAAGGAAGCTCCAGAGGAAAGCACTGAAGGGCGAGCCCGTACAAGAAGGAGGATAAACCAAACGCTATCTTCGCTACCTTTAAAGACTGGGCCCAGAAAAAAGGATGTCCGAATATTACAAAGATAAGTAAAATTTATGTTACTTTGCAAACTTAAGTTAATCTTTCATTCTTACTGCAAGTGGCAGATTTCAAGAAGTTTTACCTCATGCGAGGTCTACCTTTATCGCCAAAAAGGGCGAGAAATGAGTTGTGACCGATTTTCGTATTATGTTTTTCAATTACTCGCGCGTAAAACTAAAGTTGATGTATAATAGCGTTGTGTAAAGACTTAAATATTGTAAAAAGTTATTGTATAAAATTTTATTTAAAACATTCTAGCAAGAAAGAAGTTTTAGTCTGAAAGACTTTTTGAAATGTAGTATTTTTCAATGTAGAAAGAATTGGCACTTGCTTTGAAAAGAATAGAAGTTAACAATGTACTACTAATGTATGTTTTCAAAATGTGTAAAATTAACGGCATGTTGATATGTTCTTATATACAATGTGAACTGTTATTTTAAATGTTAAGAAATACCGTGATATGGTAAAAGTGAAAGTAATGTTAAAAATTTGTTA